GTGATTTGTGATTGACTAAGGGTATAACCATGTAACGTTCTTAGACCAACAAATAATTTGTTTTAAGTTGCACCCATTAAGTCAACCTTTTGAAATTTAATTGTTATTAGTTAGTGAGTCATTAGGTTAAGGCTTCGATTGAGAAGTGAGTTGGTTTTTTTTTTTTTTTTGACAATTTTAGCCTGATATTAAAAAGTTTCGTTTGAGTTGGACTTCTTAGTTTTTTTATTTTATTTTTGTGAGAGAACAAAATAATTATAATTTAAATGTGACATTTTATCTTATTAACTTTTAAATTTATTTTATTTTTTCCTGACTATTTTAACTTGATAATTCCATGCTAAACGAGGATTAAGATGAGTCATTTGGGTTCGGCTCATAGCTGATATCAGTAGCGAAGCTAAAAATATGGAGTCAGCAGAGTTTGACGTCGAAATGGGGTTCACATGGTTACATGTGCCCCAGTTTTAATCTTTTATTGAATTCCATGAACTCATCAACTAACTCATCCTTTGCCTTCTTATCTCTGTATTATTCACTAATACAAAGTTACAAACCGACTAGACCGACCATATATTAAACCCCTCTTGTTTTTTTATGTTCATGAAAACGACATCCAATGTTATCCCATAAAATTCTCATTACCTAGAGACAAAGACAGATAGAAAGAGGGCAAACAAAAGTCTGAATGTGGGTTAATAAACAAAACAAATGACCGTTGTTGAGAGATGGGTCATGTGTTTTGTGATTGCTGGAATAAATAAATAAATATTTAACATTTATTTTAAATACAAAGTAATTTTAAAAATTTTAAATATTTTTTATCAAAATTATTTATTTATCAAAATTATTAATTAAAATATAATTATAATATCATTAAAATTATTAATTAATTTAATTATTTATTAATAAAAGAATTATTTGTTATACGGTTAGAAACGAGTCCGGATCGTCGGTTGATTTTTAAAATTACAAAAATAATTTATATTTTAAATAAATATTAAAAGATATATTTATAATTTAACCATAAACAAATGCTACGCAACACTGCAAGAGACGGAGGGAGCATATAAAGTAGGGGGGTTACGTGGGGTTGAATCCTCACACCACGCCCTAAATTGGATTTCCTGTCGGCCTGTTTGATTGCTAGTTTTTATTTATTTATTTGTTTATTAGTAAGCTTGCTTCGTTGACTAATCAACCAATAGACATTCAACACGTTCGACTATATTGGGAAGGAATTTATAATGAGAAAATGAGGTTCGAATCCTTTTAATCATACTTCGCCATTCCAACCGAAAGGTGATGTTGAGTCTTTTGGGTCAAAATTCAAAAAACATATAAATATACAGTTTATTATTACGTTTTACTTGTTATCAATTTTATTTAAAATAAATATAATTTGATCATATAATTACAATCATTCGATTAATTTAATTTTTTTGTATAATTAATATGTTCTGAGAGTTTTATATGATAATAAGGAATATGTGACAAGTATATTAAGATCATCAATTATTTATATTAAATATATGTATTATGTGTTGTATAAATTGTGAACTTAAATAATATAAATAGATTCATATTGAATAATCACTTTAAATTTCAGTATAAGAGAATATAATAAAGTTTACAAAAATTTATAATAAAATAAAACTAGTAAAAAAAAGCAAATCGAAACCTGTATGATATCACAGTGTCCTTAAAATAGATTAGTCACCTCACCGTGGGTGCTGGAGGAATGTCGACTTCTGTCTCCCAAGATATGACGGTTTAGACTAGGCTAACGCAGAAGCACCTTATGTTAGTTTTGGCGTACTTGATAATGGTTGCACTCTTTTTAACAAGAACCAAAGAAGGAACTAGCAAAAGATAAAAAAAAAATTTCTTTGGTGTAAAAAATCATCTTCAACTTATTTTTTTTATCTCAAAACAACATTCCCATTTTCCATCAAAATCTCTCAAAAACTCTTCTTCAAAGTTGGAGGGGAAATGCCTTTTTCTATATTTGTAGGGATGAAGGCTACCATAAAACTTAGCATCAATGGCTATCAACTCTAGTCTTTAGGGTTAAAGTTACAAAGATGCAAAACTTCCATGTGCATAATTATCATCAAAAGATAAGAGTTACAAAGGTTAAATAAATAAATAAATAAATATATATATATATATATAATGCTATTTAAATAATCCAACTAGATGGGTCGCAAAATGGATATGGGTATTGGGTCACAACTCGATCCACACCCAGTCTAAAACATATGCACAAGACAAGCCCAGTCCATAATAACACATAGCCCATGTCCAAGACTAAGTCCAACACATGCACATACATAAGCTTAGGCCAGTCCAGACCAAAACTAAAACTAAGTCCAAGCTTAGGCCCAAGCCCAACTTCTATTGATGCCCACTTTATAAGATAATATTAATTTTTATTCACAACTCAATGATTTTAGCCCATCATTTTTATATTGTAATCTTCTCACTTGAGAGAATACAAAATTACTCAAACCCACCTCAACCGGCGGTTATGTCCCATTTTATTTCAAATTAAAATTGCCGAAAAATCATCAACATTATGTATTTTACTGCATTAGTACAATAAATTCTAACTAACTTAGTAAAATATGTTAGGGGTGACACAAAAATAATTATTGGGTACAACACAAATAATTATTGTGTATAATTCTGCGTGGACTAAGGGAAGTGAAAATAAAACCGGACATCTTTTGCTTAACAAAAGAGCCCTAAAACCATTGGTTCATCCTTTGAAATGTCTAAAGAAGTTAATTATTGTCTTTGGCCTCTCATTTTTAAGTTTATATACAACTTCATATGTTTTATTTATATATAATTATTTATCAAGGAAAATGACAAAATATTATCTGCCATTATTAAATTTTTTATAATTATTTTTAAACAAGTAACAATCATTCACTCTGTTTGGTTTTGATTTTCAAAATTCACTTTTCAAAAAATTCTATTTTTTTCTTTTTCGTATTTTTCTTTATTTCTACTGATTTTTTAATTTTTTAAGTAATATTTTAGACATACTTAACATAAATACATTCAAAAAGTATAGTATTTGTGAATTTTTTTAAAAAAAAAATTCACTAAATACCAAGCACACTTCAACTACGAAGATAATCACTATAAAAAAAATAAATAAATAAATAAAATTACGAAGATAATACAAAATATTAATAAAAAATCAGTGATACGTGGCATTTTTCTTCAAACCACAACAGATGGCCTCACATGGGTCTTCTGAATTTCAAAGGGATGAAATTATCACCAGTTCAATATAGTTGGACCCGTAAATTCATTACTAATTCTTCTCCGATAATTTAAGCCGCATTCTAGTGTAGATCATCCTATAAGAATTGAAATTGCATGGTTTCATATATTTCTATTGAAAAAATAAGCAAGTATAAATAGATATATAGTTAAGAAACAAGTTTTTGTTTTTTTAAAGGACGTAAAAATCAGTAGGAAAAAAGGCCTAGGTCCTCTCTCTCTCTCGTGGAGGTTTTTCTCTTGCTTTGTGCAAGTTTTTTTCCACCATCGGAGGTTTGTGGTGGTGTTTGTGGAACCATGACAGATTCTCTCCTTCATCTTACTCGTAATTTATCTCTCACTTCAGAGGAGGATGCTGTTGTTTGTATTGGTGAGGCTTCTACACGACTGATAACGGAACGCTCGGATCTGTGCCTTGTTGGGACGCTTCTAAGTCGCCGGCCGTTTAATGTTGATGCTATGAAGGGTTGTTTGCTCTCTGTGTGGAAACCCACCAAAGGAATGCAGATGCACGTTATTGGCGATAACTTGTTTGTTTTTTCGTTTGGCCAAGTTGTGGATAAACGGCGAGTTTTATTGAACGAACCTTGGACATTTGATAAGCACCTCTTAATGTTGGGCGAGATGGACCCCAAAGTTCAACCGTCTGATATACGATTGGTATATGCGCAATTCTAGGTACATGTTTATAATCTTCCTCTGCTTCTTATGAACACGGAGGTTGGTACAATTGTTGGAAACACTATTGGTAAGTTGGTTGATATGGACTTTGAGGATGGTGGTCTTGCATGTGGACGATCAATGCGCATTCGGGTATCTCTTGATGTTCGGAAACCTTTACGTCGAGGGATGAAGGTGTCTTTGTTGTCTGCTGATCCTCTCTGGGTGGACTTCAAATATGAGCGCCTCCCAATATTTTGTTACTTCTGTGGAATGTTAGGCCATAGTGAGCGTGACTGTGATGCCAAGATCTCTGCCGCTGTAGCCCCCATTGCAGTGCCACAGTATGGGCCTTGGCTGCGAATGGATAATTTCCGTTCTAAGGGGGTTCGTAGATCAGGCTTGATGGATGGGGGCGATGCGAATAGGCCTTCCTCTGGCGATCTGACGGGTGCGGTGGCTGACCGGAATCGTGATCGTAATCGGGATCAGCTAGGCTTTGTCAGGGAACATATTTCGCCCATGATTAATGGCGTCAATCACGGAGCTGATTTAAATGGGGCCACAAATAAGGGATCTTCCATATCTTCACCGATACATCCTCTTTTTGAATTATCAACTAGGCGGGAGATTGAGGAGGTTGGGTGTAATAGGCTTGATCAACCTAGTGGTAAGGAGGGCCTTGGTGTGATCCAGCCCAATCTGGGAGAGTTGAATAAGGTGAGGGGGCCTGTGGCCCAACTAGATCCCAAGTCTCCTACTGCTAATTTGGAGGATGCTGTTAGCCCAACGGGTGTTCCACAGGTGGTTAAAAAGAAGTGGAAGCGGGCGGCCCGCCTTTACATGGGGTCAAATTCTACTGGACCATTTGACACTGGGCCGAAACGAGCTTTTGATGAGGAGGTGCTGCCGGGTGGGTCACCGAGTGATGAGACCAGTTCTACGGCTATTGGAAAACGTTTGTGTGTGCATGGGGGTGGTGTCTTCCACCAAACTCCCAACCTTTCAACAGTGGAGGCTGATGATCAGCCCCGCCGATCACAATGAATGTGCTATGTTGGAACTGCCGTGGGCTTGGGAACCCTCAGACAGTTCAGTCGCTTCAGTTTTTATTGAAGACGGAAGCTCCTGGGCTGGTTTTTCTTATGGAGACCAAGCTCGATTCGAAACGTATGGATGGGATTCGGAGAAAACTTGGACTGGTTGGTGGTTTTTATGTCAATCGGGTAGGATTAGCGGGCGGCCTCGCGTTGTTATGGCCTGCGGGAATCCAAGTTAATGTGCAAAGTTATTCGGTTGGCCATATCGATGCCTTTGTGGAAGCTGGATTGGGTGATCACACGTGGAGATTTACGGGGTTTTATGGAAATCCTGACACGTTGCTAAGGAAGGATTCCTGGGCTTTATTGCGACGGTTGGCAGGGTGCTTCCAGATGCCTTGGCTCTGTGCGGGTGATTTTAATGAAATTTTGTTCTGTCGAGAGAAACTTGGAGTGCTGGGTCGAAGTCAAATTCAATTGGACAATTTTCGACATGCTCTTGAAGATACTCACCTTGCTGATATGGGTTTTAATGGGCCTTTATTCACTTGGTCAAATAATCGAGTTGGTGCGGCTTTGGTTCGAGAGAGGTTAGATCGTGGGTTAGCAAACGATGCTTGGCAAGGACTATTTCCCCAGGCAAAGGTCTATCCTCTAGCTTGCACATCCTCAGATCATTTACCTCTCTGTATTGACCTCTGTGGGGATAAGGCTCAATGTGAGATTCGTCGGGATAAACATCGCATTTATCGTTTTGAGGCTATGTGGTTACGGAATGCAAACTGTGAGCAAGTGGTCACTGAAAATTGGGGGCCTTCTTCTACTACGGATGTTAAGGGCTTGGTTTCTAATATTTCCCGAGTGAGCTCTTCGTTGAGACAGTGGGACCGAAATGTATTTGGGTGTGTGAAGAAGCAGTTGACGGAAAAAACTAACCACCTCCACCGGTTGCTTACAAGGTGTGGTCTTTCTTTGGCTGAAGCAGAAGAAGAGCGTACATTGCGGTGTGAAATTGATGAGCTTTTTAGAACGAGAATCTATTTTTTGGGGTCAGCGTGCTCGAGCCAATTGGTTAAAGGATGGCGACCGTAATACGTCTTTCTTTCATTCTAAGGCCACCCAAAGACATAAAAAGAAGAAGATTGACGGCATAGTCGATTCCCGTGGGATCTGGCAAGCGGAGCACAATGTACTGGAGGATATCTTCGTGACTTATTTTCAAGAGCTATTTTCAGCAGGCGTAGGGTTGACAATGGACCCGGTGCTCCAGTTGGTTCAAAGGAGAATTTCTGATAGTAGTGCTGTTACTCTAAGTCGTCCTTTCTCTGCACTTGAAGTACACCATGCGCTTCTCCAAATGCATCCAACGAAGGCTCCCGGGCCTGATGGTAAGCCTGCTTTATTTTTTCAAAAATTTTGGCACGTTGTGGGTTCTAGTGTCAGTAATGTTGTGCTTGGGATTTTGAATGGGGTGGATGATATTTCACAGATTAATCATACATTTATTGTGCTTATTCCTAAAGTTAAAAAGCCCCAGCATGTGTCCGAATTTCTGCCAATCAGTTTGTGTAATGTTGTCTACAAGCTTGTTGCCAAAGTGTTGGCCAATCGCCTTAAAGAGGTTTTGCCATCAGTAATTTCTGACACTCAAAGTGCTTTTATACCAGGGCGCTTGATAACAGATAATGCGCTATTGGCTTTCGAAGTTTTTCATTTTCTTAAGAACAAGCGGGCCGGAAGAGATGGATTTCTCGCCCTGAAACTAGACATGAGTAAAGCTTATGACCGAGTGGAATGGCCATTTCTTCATCAAATGATGCTCCAATTGGGTTTTCCGCAGCATTTTGTGCAACTCCTCATGAATTGTGTGTCGACGGTATCATTTTCGGTTCTTCTTAATGGCAAGCCTTCAAGATTGTTTCGTCCAACACGGGGTCTCAAACAGGGGGATCCCCTTTCGCCATACTTGTTCACTATTTGTGCGGAAGGGTTGTCGGCGCTTTTAACCCATACTATGGTAAACAACCAGTTGTCGGGGATTTCTCTTTGTCGCGGTAGTCCACGATTATCGCATTTGTTTTTTGCTGATGATAGTCGTCTATTTGCGGTTGCCACTGAAGCTGAAGCCGGGGTGTTACGAGATGTCCTCCAACTATATGAGCAAGCCTCGGGGCAGAAAATTAATTTCCAAAAATCTGCTGTTTGCTTTAGCAAAAATTCGGAATTGGTTACCCAGCAAGTGGTGACATAAATTCTTGGGGTGGGTTCCATGGCGACGTACGGGAAGTATTTGGGGTTACCGTATTGTGTGGGTCACTCAAAACGATCCGTCTTGGGTTTTGTCAAAGAGCAAGTATGGCATCGTTTGAATGGGTGGAAGGAGAAATCATTATCGATTGCGGGTCGCGAGGTCCTTATTAAGTCTGTTGCTCAAGCCATCCCCACTTATATAATGTCCTGTTTTAGATTACCTGCTGGTCTGTGCCATGAGATTGAATCAATGGTATGCAATTATTGGTGGGGACAAAAGGAGGAAGCCCGTAAAATTCATTGGACTAACTGGAAGCATTTGTGCAAATCTAAATTGCGTGAAGGGATGGGTTTTCGCTGCCTTAATGAATTTAATACAACTATGCTGGCCAAACAATGTTGGCGACTTGTGAAACGGCCTCACTCGTTGATTGCAAGGGTGTTAAAAGCCAAGTATTTTCCTCACACTTCGTTTCTTGATACGTTTCTTGGAAGCAACCCATCTTTCACCTGGAGGAGTATAGCGGGCGCTCGACATTTGCTTAATGCTGGGTTGCGATGGCGAGTGGGAAACGGTGAGAGCATTTCGATTAAATCTGATAAATGGGTTCCTCGACCTCATACCTTTAAGGTCATTTTGCCATCTTCCACTCTCCCGGACAATGTAAAGGTTAGTGCGTTGATTGATTCCCAACGTGGTATCTGGAATTCTGAGCTTCTTAATCAACAATTTCTGGGTGTTGATGGCGAAGCTATTCGCTGCATCCCTCTCTGTCCAACATTACGCCCGGATAAATTAGTTTGGCATTTTACACGAAGTGGTGAATTTTCAGTGCGATCGGTGTATCATTTGTGTGTGGATATGGGCTGCTCGGATGGCCTTGGTGTCACCTCCGATGATGGTCTGTCAAAAAAGAAGTTTTGGACTGCTCTATGGCAGCTGCAGATTCCGACTAAAATAAAGATATTTGGCTGGAAAATGTGTCTTGGGTTGTTACCGGTGCGAGCAAATTTGCGGAAACGCCATATCGTGACTGTGGATTTATGTGAGTTGTGTGGTGATGAAGTGGAAACCGTGAGCCACTGCTTTCATAATTGCTGGTTTGCACGGCAAGTGTGGATGGCCAGCTCGATTTCGGTGGTTCTCACGGATATGCCTGTTAATAATTGTTTTTAGTGGGTTTGCAATATTATGACAAAGTATGATATGAAGTTGATGGCTTTATTTTTTACTATTTGTTGGGGTTTATGGAATCAACGGAACTCCATTCTTTTTGACCATAAGGTTAGACCAATAGATGATGTTGTGGCTTTTGCTGAGAAGTATGTAATAGAGTATGCTCAAGCTCACCAATGCAGCCAAATTCCAGTGCATCGTATGCGGGTTCGAAGGTGGGTTGCACCTCTAGAAGGTGTGTTTAAATTGAATTTTGATGGCTCGATTCGGAAGACCCAAGCACTTGCTGGTATTGGGATTATTGTTCGGGACAGTAATGGGTTGGTTATTGCTGCTATGGTTGAGCAAATTCATTCTCTGGAAGATGTGGATTGTGTGGAAGCTTTGGGTGCCGTCAAAGCGCTTCAATTTGGATATGACTTGGGGTTGGATAATATTCAGCTTGAAGGAGATTCTTTAAACGTGGTGTCTGCACTTCAAGGAAATACAGAAAATTTATCGTGTTATGGTCATTTCGTAGATGTGGCTCAGGCACTCCTCTTGCAGTTCCATTCCTCATCCGTCTCGCATGTTTCTAGAGATGGCAATTCTGTGGCTCATTGTTTAAGTCGGTTAGCTTTTGATTTTGAATCACCTCGCATTTGGATGAAGGAAGTTCCTCCCTCCTTGATGGCGTTGGTGGCTTCGGAGGCTCCCTCTTCTTTGTAATTGCCTTTCCTGTCTAAAAAAAAAAGGAAAAAAAAGAAAAAGAAAAAGAAAATGTAACCAATAAGAGAGAGAGGGGGTCAAAGGGGGTGGGAGGAAAAGGGGGGATGAATCATTGTTGTTTTTTTCATAAAGAATTTACACACAGATCCACCAGCTAAATGACTCAAAACATGGAGTCAAATTCTGTTGATGAATTTCATGAACTTAACTCAACGCTCTAATCCATTTTAAAGGCAGGAGAGATGCCTCCTTAAAATCACTCTAATCTATTTTATAGGCCGGAGAGATGCCTCTTTCTTCTTAAAATCACCCTTTATCTCAATAATTCTTAGTGAAAATGATTTAGATCCTCTGTCAATTACATAGAAGGAAGCAAAAGCTACATCCAAAAACTATGTGGCACAACTTTTATACCATAATCACAGAAGACAAGAACTTATGTATCACTCTCTCAAGGAGCATCAACAACCAGTTCATATTTGATATTCTCATTCTATAGTACACCAAAACCATGACCTCATAGCTTCACAATCTCAAAAAAAAAAAAAAAAAAAAAAAAAAAAAAAAAAAAAAAAAAAAAAAAAGAAGAAGAAGAAGAAGAAGAAGGAAAGTGATGGTGACAGATACGAGTTGCAGAAAGATGCATGAACATGAAAATTGCTTTGTTCTTGTGTTTTAGCCCAAATCCGTCATGATATAACCAAAAACTCTACTTGCACATATAATTATTTCACAAAATTTTCACAAAAGAAAAACAAAGAGTGGGCTCTACGTGTGTTGTCCCCGCATGTGAGCCCCACTTTCTTATCTCTTTTCTGTGAAATAACTCTGTGCAAGTAAGGAAATACTTTTGAATGCATGGATATGGCAATGCCCATTCAAATGCCATGGGCTCTTGGTGACTCACCTTCTTGGCCTCCTTTCTTTTTGGAAAACAACCCTCCAATCAAAGGGATTTTTTTCTTAATCTTCTTTTTAGAAGAAGGGTTTGTCTCAAGCACTTCACCAACATCCTTGGTACTAATAACTTTAACTAGTGAAGGAGAACTAGCAAACTTGACAGATCTTTTCTTTTCAAAATACTGTGAACCTTCTTGTGTTTGTGTCTTGAATTCGACTTTGCTAGCATTTTCGATAAACTTGAGCTCTTCGATCTCAGGATCAACCGGTTGTTCGTGGAATTCTCTTGAAGTCTTCAGATGATGTAGCTCTTTCTTTGTTTGTTCAAGCTCTTGCTTAAGAGATTTGAGGCAATTAGCCATAACATGGCCTTCCTCTTTAGCTTTTTGAAGGTTTTGTTTTGTCTCTTCAAGCTCAGCTGATACAGCTCCAATTCGGGATTGGAATTGTCCATGTTCACTTGCTCTTGTTTGCATCTACAAGAAATTAAACACATAATAAAGCAAAAGGATGATTCTTGACGAACACGGAAAAAGTTGTCTATTGTTGATTGCTAATAGCCTGTTTTGTTTTCAAAATTTTTGAAATTGCAACAGTATGTTGGCCACATCTTCTCTTTTAATTTAAAAACCGTTTCAAAACAAGGCTCCAAAATTCACTCCAAAGCAAAAAAAAGTTCATTTTCACTTGGATTTCTTAATAAAAGAAAAAAAAAATCTTTATATTAAAAGAACAAAAAATGGAAAACATACAACAAAACCAATGAACCCTTGTCAATAATAGCACACAATCTTATGGAACCTGCGTTAAGTTTGGTTAGAAGATTTGAGAAGAAAAAAGAAAAATGTGTGTAAAATTAAGTAAAATGTAAGTGTATTTTATTCATGTTTTACCTTCTTCTTTTTTTTTCTCTTCCAAATTCCTTCTAAAATCCTCCAACCAAAAACAGTGTCAGTAGACAATGGGATTGATCTCCTGAATTAGTTGATTCATTGGACCAGATACCAAAGTTATCAAAAAAAGAAAATATATTGTTGCACTTGAATCAATCAAGCATGAGGTTTTCTTCTTCTTATTCTTCTTCTTCTTCCAATTTTATTTTAATTTTTATTGTTATTATTATTTTTTGTAAGAAAAGCTATTGATCTAAATTTAAGTGTATATATACAATCCATGCAAGTGTATATATATACATATAATTTTCAGGGCTTTTGTTGCCAGTGCCACATTGGTTGTTTGTTAGTAATCCAACATTCAAATGCTTCAATTCAGCAACATATCAAAATGAACTCCACAAGCTCAATCTTACAGGTTTATTTAAGCTCATTGAACACACACACACACACTACTAATAGAGAGAGAGAGAGAGAGAGAGAGAGAGGAACCTCTTTGAGCTTGTTGGCATAGATTTCGCCAGCTAAAACCCTTTCACCAAACAACATAACTGCCTCTTTAACAGACCGGAATGGTGCCCTCGTGTCGATCTCTGCCCGTCCGATCACCACCACCCCCTCCTCTCTTTCCATGTTCTTAATTTCCTTAAACTCCACACTTTGAACACACCCACCACGCACACACACAGAGGAGGACTGAGAGATGAATGAACGAAGGTGGCGACAAAGATCTCTTTGCTTTTATAAGTACGTAAAGAAGCCACCCACCCACCCACCAAGAGTGGATAGAGAAGTCGTTAATTACTCCTTAATAGTAATGTATAGTAATATGGTGGGACTTTATCAAAATCATGGGACTTCATTTCTTCGCGTCCACTTCACTGGTATTCTGTTATTTGACGGTGATGTTCTTGCTTGTTTGCTTGCTTTGCTGGTGGTTGCTCCGTCTTTGTTTCGTTTAATTCCCCCACTGCTTGATTTAAAATTCTCTTTCTTTGATAGGGAGGTCTCGCCAGAAGTGGCCTTTTAGGGCCTCAAATTAATTTAGACCTGGCGCCTTTTACTTATTTATTACAAATTATATCAGTAATAGTTTAATCTTTATAATGTTACTTTAAAATTGAACTAAAATTAAGATTCAAAATAATCTGTTCACTTTTTCACAACAATTAAGGATTTATTTCTAATTACCATTTTGTCTTCTATGGAACTTATTAAAAAATGTTATTGTTTGGATTGAATTGATAAGATGTGAAATTAAATGGTAAAATTGATATAAAGATATAAGAGACAAATTGCAGAGATCAAAAATAAATAAATATATATCTTTAACAATCAGGAAGGTTTCAAGATAAGGCTATATCACATGAGTGGTGCTATGTGTACCAATTGGTATATTAATTAGTATATCAACATATATTATGATATTGTCATTTCAAAAATCAAGCATTTAATTTATAATAATTGATTCAATATGACCATTTTTGAAAGCCAGTAGGTGTGACAATTAAATGCTTGATTTTTACATATCGAATCAATTCCTACAAATTAAATACTTGATTTTTACAATCAATCACAAATTAGGTTTATCGTTTAAAGCATAGCGCAATATCAAGAATAATTAAACTTCAAATATTCAAATTCATGATTTTTGGCAAAAGTTTTTTTAAATTTTTTTTGTCAAGGACCTACCCATCTGAATTAGCCTTGATCTCCATTAAAGTGATGCTTACAATTTTACATCTTAACCACTTCAAAGGCCTAGCCCAATAAATACAAGCTATTAGAGTCATTTTCATGTAAATAGAAGGATCTTCAAATTAAAGGATGATCTATTAGAGTAATTTTCATGTAAATAAAAGGATCTTCAAATTAAAGGATGATTTATTAGTAGCATCCTATTTTTTTGGTTTATATGGATTCATTTGAAAAAGCTTATATTGGAAGTCTTAAACATGTTTGGTTTGTTAATTACATCCCATCTATTTGAGTAATCATCATGTCACTTAGGAGGAATCACTGATAGATATAACAAGTGGGTGGGACAATGGTTCTGCAGGGATATAAAATTTTTACTAAATAAATATCTCGTGTGGGTGTAGGGTCTACACTTTTGTGAACCTTACATCATGTGAGACATTTGGTCATTCATTTGATAAAAAATTTGGAGCCTATAACATTTTTTGTGGGACAATTGAATAATACTATGGATTATGAAAAAACTAACATGAAATACTTCATAAAGATTTGATTAGTGTGCGGTGTTTTATTGTATGCGTAATCTAACGATGAAAAATTTTCCATGATCATTTTCATGATATTTTTTTTTCATAATCCCTAACATTATTCGAGACAATTACATTCACATTCACCATAGCTTGGAAGTCAAATATATTTTAAGATTGTGCTTAAATTTAAATTTATTGAAAAAATAAATAATGAATAAAAATATTTTTATCCCATTTTCTTTGATTTTACTCTTCAAATTAAAATACAAGCACAACATAAACCGCTTGCAAATATAATAGATAATCAAAACAAGAGAAAAAATACAAGAAGATAAGAAAATGATTTTGGAAACCACTTCAATTTCAAAAACGATGATTAATTCTTGTAAATTTGAACAATACATGATAAAAATGAACGGGAGAGCTCATTAAGGCAGGCTTTGACAATTACTTTACTCTTTTAACATTTTTTTTTTTTGTTTATTTTTGTTTTTGGTGAACTTTATTAAAATTTGTGAAGAAAGCTTCATTCAAGTCATCAGAGGCTTATTTTGAAAAGTGAGTTAAAAGTCACTTTTCAGCTTTTAACTCACTTCCCTCTCTAAAAAAAAAGTCGAAAAATAATTTTTAACCATCTTCCAAAACACCGTGCACCACTCAACTCAACCCAATATTCTTAGGGAAAAGCACCATTAAATCCTTAATTTGGGAATGTTAACCCATTTAGTCCCGACATTTTTTTGTTGGACTAATAGGTCCTATTTTATGTGTAAAGACATTAGTACCCATTTTTTTAGGCGACTGGGTCAGTAATTGATGGGATAATTTTGGGTTAGTGTTTATGTGTAATTTACCGAATTGCCCAAGAAGCTTACTATAGGCTTTTTTTAGATTTCTCTCCTTTCCGAACATCAGCAACGTTAACTACATCATCACCATCAACAAACATCAACAACATCACCAACATCACTAAAAAAACATCATCAAAAATTTAAGAACATTAAAAACAAAACTATTTCTGCCCAGTATGAAGACAATGTTCAAACATCAACAAACATCAAACATCAACAAAAAAATATACACCTTATTACATATTTTTACAGACTATTCCTAAAAAATATACACCTTATTAATCGTCGGCGACAAAACATCATCAAAACATATACATCAAACATCACTAAAAAAATATACATCAAATATCAACATATACATTATACATCACTAAACAAACAACCATTTCTAAAGGATAATGGGTCGCCATTGATGGTCAAAGTGTACCCATTTTTCAGCTTCACAAACAACCCACAATTCGTATCGCTAGACTATGCTCCGTTTCGGGAAAGGAATAGAGAGATTGATCAGACATAGTCTTAAACATTAACATCAACAAAAAAAAATATGCACCTTATTACATATTTTTACAGATTATTTCTAAAAAATATATTGATTGATGTACATTTACGGACTATATTTTTACAAACATCATCAAAAAAAATATTGTGAACATCATCAGCATCATCAACATTCGAACATCATCACCAATATATTCGAACATCATCACCATCAACTGCGTTTGTTGGCTGCTTTTTCTCAGAAACCCTAACCCTAATGCTAAGGTCTGCAACAATGGTGGTGAAAGCTTCAAGGCCGAGAAGAAAAGCTCCTACGACACTAAGCTGTGCAGCCTTGTCGATATCTACTCTCAGATCTTGATCATCGCTGCCGATAATGTCGGATCGAACCAGCTTCAGAACATTCGGAAGGGACTGCGAGGTGAGTCGGTGGTATTGATGGGGAAGAACGCAGTGATGTTTTCCAGCGATGTTCTTCAGCGGCGTTGGAGAATATTCAAATCAGATCTGTACTTCCCTCAAATCAGGTCGAATAAGGTCTGTCACTGGCGCCTTCTCCCTCTGTCGGCGGTGTCGCCGTCGCTTTGATGAATTCATACCCTCCCTCGGCCTCGTCTTTCGACCCAAATAACCAATCAATAATGGGTTCATTGCTGCAATTTCTGAAGGACACTAGGTCGCCATTGATGGTCAATGTGTACCCATTTTTCAGCTTCACAAACAACCCACAATTCGTATTGCTAGACTATGCTCTGTTTCGGGGAAGGAACAGAGACGGGGACGAGCCATGGCTTCGTCAACATCAACTACATTAGCAACATCATCAATATCATCTACATTAGCAACATCACCAAAATGAAATCAATATGGATAGAAATGTAAATTTCATATGCAATAAATCAAAAACATATATCATACCAAAAAATAAAAAGGACTAAACGGTTTAAGAAAAAATACTCAGGACTAGATAGAGGCAACATTTCCCAATATGAGATTTATGGGTAATTTTTTCATATTCTTAGCGTTTTCATTTTTTATTTTTTTGGTTGATAATATTTTTAAGGTTTATAAAATTAGATTAAGATTTTAAATCCATTTAATTTTTTGGGGCGAAAATTTCTAGCTGCCCATTTATAAAACATTTTATAATATTTATTTTGTAATAAATTTATATACCACTTTCGAATGATTAAATGTTCAAAGCCAATGGCAAAGCAAAACCGACAGTCGTTGTAAATTTTAATTGGTGTTAAACAATAGAACCCTTTAGTCTCAGACTTATTTGGAAATTAATTATTTTAGCTGATTTTTTTACTTTTTTAAGAAAAGATATATTAAAATATATATATATATATATAATATGACAAGTAGTGACTTTTTTATTATTTTTAAACCTTAAACCCAAAAAAATTTCCAGAGACAGAGAGATAGATATGCGAAATCAAAATTAGGATCACTGATTACTAGTGCACAAAATCATCATAGCTGCAAGAAAAACTTCAGAGATTGATGTTATTATTGTTGGAACACGTATTCAATCAGTTCACTTGTGTGACCATATATAGCTATCTCCCAAACTTTTCTTCTTTCTTCAACAATCAGAAGCAAGAATTTGAGAATTGGCAAAAACATAACAACAAAAAAACAAAATAACAAAGCGATCTTTAGAAATGGTATCGCAAGAATGAGACCATATATTCCATTTGTATTCAGTTATCTTCTTCTTCTTCTTCTTCTTCTTCTTCTTCAGGGAAGCGCTAGTGCTTCCCTTTCGGCGTTGGCAAGCCCTTCAAGTGCACAATTCCAGGCGAAACACAATATTCTTCTTCTCCTTCAAGCTCATCATCACTGTTGTACACGAACCGAGTGTGTTTCCCACTAAATTTCTTGAAACTGATCTTGCTCATCCCTTCACACAGTTCATCAACCAACCCTCCATCATCTTCCTCTGCTTCTTCATAATATTCATCTTCTTCTTCTTCTTCTTCTTCTTCTTCTTCTTCGCCTTCATCACTTTCTTCTTCCTCTTCTTCATCATCTCTGCTACTGGCATTGACTTGAATAGACCAAACAGAAGCGTCATCATCCTCCATAAATGACTTCTCTTCGCCTTCATCACTTTCTCCTCCTATTCCTCCTTTATGTGTCAGCACAGAGGAACACTCGGATGAATCAGAACCCTCTGATTTCTCAGAAAAGTCCAAGAGTAAAGACCTTGAAATCATCGAGTTGTTCTCAGATTCAGGAAGATCCTCTTGTTTCATTCCATCAAGCATCTCAGTCACCATCTGACAGAAAACACAACAAGAAATCAATGAGAAAACTAATAACAAAATAACCAATTGAAAATTATAGATTTCAAGACCCAATCAATAAACTATCTAACAAGGGACTAGTTGAAATATTCGAATAGAAAAAAAGAAACCCAATAAAACCTGAGAAATCGTCAACTGTTCTTGAACCAGCGAAGGCGTGACCGAAGCCAAGCAACTGTTTTTAAAGCTTTCATTGTCAGAGAGGTTCAATACAAGGGGTGTGTTGGTCGGAGTAGGAGCAAGAAGCCCCATCGGAGAGTTCACGAGGCCACGGAGGTGAAGAAAAGGCCTGTTTTCCAATGAAAGTTTCGAAAGCTCGGCCTCTTCTTCCACTTTTTGCAAGAGGGTCTTGACTTGACCCCTCAACAGAGCCTCCCCTGAACCAGGAGTCTTGGTGTGCTTGCCTCGATCGCCATTCCTCTTCTTGGACATGGTTGACAATGGAGTCTCCAAGCTTTCCATTGCAAGCCCAACAATGGGTGAATCGTTTGTAATATCAATCAGAACAGACCGATCTTGTTGCTTCCCAGTTCGGGGCCTTGATTTCGAAATACCCTTTTCAGAATCTTCAATTTTCCCTGAAAATTTCAGTCTAAGATTAATCAATCATTACAAACCAACAATAAAAATGTGTGTGCATATGTACTTGTAGAAAAGAGTGAATCGCTTACTCGACATGGGTATGTAGTTGATGTTGGAGTTGATTGAGGCAGAGGAGGTGGTTCGTGATCTTGTGACTCTTCTTGTTGATGATGGGGTTTCCATTGGAATTGTTAGATCAAGAAATCGAGATTGAAAAGAGAGAGCAGATTGAGATTGAAAAGAGACAAGTAAAGGAGCTTTTTTGAAGGGGGAGAGGTGTGAAGTTTTTATAGTATTACAAAAATTATTATTTTCATTAATAGTATCAATTAGTATAAAATTATTTCATTTTTTCATTATAAATTAATTAGTGTCAATTAATGATTTAATTAGCATCAATATTTTTTTTTTCTTTTTCTTTTTCTTTTTCTTCATTTTTTTTTCTTTTTCTTCATTTTTTTTTCTTTTTCTCCTTATCAGTACAATTAATATCCATGTATCCCTCTGTGGTATGCTTGTATTTTAAAAAAAGCCACACATCCCCCATGTGGTTTTGGTCTAAAATGCAATGCTAACTTTGGTAATTGTTAAAACTACTCCACTTCACCTACTCCACTACACAACTCCACCTACTCCACCTACTCCACTACACCTACTCTCCACCCACATCTCCTATAAAAAGGAGACCAACCATGTACATAAAATCAATCAATCATAATACATATAATTTATTCTCTCTCTATTTCTCTTTATACATTAAATTTTACATGGTATCAGAGCGGGTTTAGAACCTAGTATTTTAGCTTCACCGGCAGGCGGCAACCTCACCTTAGCCGCCCGCCGGACCTCAACCTATTCCGTTGTCATCTCTATCAATACATATAGCTTCTAGTTCGCCGCCACCAGAGGCGACTTCTCTACATACAAAGATCAACCACTCTCATGGGGTAACAAAGATATACATACATGGTCTCTATCTCTCTCTCCATATGCAGCAATGGAGAAAGGGCAAACCTCGCCGAAGAAAACCAACAATCCAACGAAACCACCACGCACCGAACCTTAGCTTCCGCCGCTGCAATTATCACATTCTTTGTTTCATTCACTGCTGGCTCCACCATGTCTTTTGGGTCATCTATTGGGCAGAGGCAGCTTTGCCACCGACCTCCACTTCTGCCACTGACACGGCGTCACCCACCGCGACATCAAGCCCCAGAACCTTCTCATTAACGCCGCCGGAGTTTTGAAAATCTTCGATTTTTTTGGCCTCTCCGCCTCGCCGGAAAACCAGCTCCACCGCAAGTGCTCCAAACCGCCTGCGGAACTCCGGCATACACCTCCCCGGAAGTCCTCCGCTGCCGCGGCTTCGACGGCGCAAAGGCCGACGCCTGGTCTATCTCTCCCAGAGCATTGCAGAAGTTGGAACTTGCACAATTCACTTCTGATAACAACCATTTTCTCGCTCGTTCTCTCTTGGGGTTAGCTTCTCAGTACTCCAAAAAGAAAACCAGAAAACAAAAGGACAGAACCATACCAGTCCATCTTCAGGCAAAATATGGTTAGAGTTTTGACTCTTACTTGGGCTTTTGATTTAGAAGGCCAGATACAGAAGCACAATGTGTTGACTTGTAACTACATTTCTCACAGCAAGACTGAAGCAATTCAATGACGTTAAGGCACACGGCTCTTTGATCTGCTGTGCCATCTCTTTTCTCTCTCTCTAAATTGAAACTTGCAAACACACACACTGCTCCACTTCAAGCACTTTCTTTTATTTTAATATATATATATATATATATATATATATTTTATAATATTTTACTCAAAGCACCCACGTTGCTCCACTGCCATATATCTTTTTAAAGAATAAATACAACCCAACCCATGTGCTGGTTCCACCCAAACCAATAAAATAAATCAATAAATAAGCCACAGGCCATTCACTTCACTTTTCTTGTTCTTATTATTTACACTTTTTCTCCACCCAAGACCATCATCACATTTTCCACCGCCCACTTTATTTTTTAATCAAACTTTATTTTTTTTCCTAATCCACCGAGAACGTTCACTCCCCCCTGCTCCTCCACTGCAGCATATGGCGGACCTCCGAATCGGAACATAACGGTGGCCTTCCGCTTCAGTTCCTTGTTTTCCGCCTTTAGCACACATATCTCTGCTCGCGCATCCTTATACATGCGCTGGAGCAGAGCCAGTTGGGCGTTTAACTGCTGCACCTCATTTGTCATACTCTGAAGCCGGTGCGACAAGTTTGTGACTGCCGTCATCGTCTCCACACATGACTTCAATGTATACTGATTGGCCTCAATATCTAATTGCGCTGCCATTATTTGCTCCATAGACCGCATAGGAAAGGTCAACGGAGCAAACCCAGGGGCGCCTGGTTGAGGTTCAAGGGCAACCGCACCAGTTATCTCTCTTGTGGACTCGTTAAGGTCTAGAAAGAGAGTGAGCAGACCACGGGAAGAAGAGGCCATGTTCTAAGTCGCTGAACGGAAAGAAGAAGCCATGTTTTGGGTTGCTAAGTGTTTCAGAGACGCAGCGATTTCAGACTGGAAATGTAAGAAAGGTTTGGTTGCAGAGTGTTTCAGAATGCAAATGTTCAGAGGTTTCAGACTCGTTTGGTTTGCACAGCCTCCGCATCGGTTTATAAAGACAATGACGAAGAAAACGACACGCGCTCTGTCGATCACGTGCATCGCCACGTGTCTGGCGCAACTTTATGATGGCTCGCCGCTCGATGATTTCTGTCGGGCACGGCTTTTGATGAAGCGGGCGCACCTTTTGAGGGTGCGCCTTTTGAGGGCTCGATATATATCTACATGTATATCTTTTGGGTAGCCTATATACACACTCATACAGTGTCTTCTACAATGGTCCGACATGACCCCATAAACTGTCCCGACATTGATTCCGGTTAGCTTCTCCACCGGTCCGGCATGACCCCATAAACTGTCCCGACATTGATTCCGGTTAGCTTCTACAACGGTCCGGCATGACCCCATAAACTGTCTCGACATTGATTTCGGTTAGCTCCTACAACGGTCTGACACAACCATACAGTGTCTTCACCAACGGTCTGACATGACCATACAGTGTCTACTATCCTCTTTTCTTTTATGTATTAGTCTATTTTCTTATTTTGTTCCTCTTTCCAAACTTTAGTTGATTTGTGTCTCTCCTCCTTGAGTTTGCGGGGGCTGTTAAAACTACTCCACTTCACCTACTTCACTACACAACTCCACTACACAACTCCACCTACTCCACTACACCTACTCTCCACCCACATCTCCTATATAAAGGAGACCAACCATGTACATAAAATCAATTAATCATAATACATACAATTTATTCTCTCTCTATTTCTCTTTATACATTAAATTTTACAAAAACAAATAAAACAAATGTGCTAGTTATAAAGTTTTTGGTTTTTCGATGACTCTGTTTTGTACAAGTCTTTTGGGTCAATTTTTTGCAAATTTCTGTGAACAATTTCCATACAAGTGGCACAGTTGTTTCGTCTTTCCTACCATACGTTTTCACCAAAGATCCATGTTGATGACGAACCAAAATTGGCATGCAGAAATCTCATTGGTTAAAGATACTTTTTTTTGTTTTTTTTGGGGGGTAGAACGGGAGCTTATTAAGTAATAATTAATAATTGAGGGCATCTCCATCAAAATAGTTATTTTTAATAGTGAATAAACCATCAAATTTCATCTCTATTAAACTAGTTATCAAGTTAATCATTTTAGTTTTGATGGTTTTAACTCAAGTTAGTCATTTTAGTTTTTGATAGTTTTGACTCAATAGATGTAGCTAGTAATTTACTCTAGCCAAACATTAAAAAAGTATTATTTTGGAATTAATTGCGTTGTGTTTATAAAAAATAATTCTAAATTAAATGAATAAAATAATATTTAAGTAGTATAAAGAAATAATAGAGAGTTTGTTAAAGAATGTATTTAAAAATATATAAAAGCAAAATAGAAAAAATGAATTTTAAGTTAAAATATAATTTTTTTAGCTAGTTTGATGTTGATGCTCTAATAGTCTTGTGGTATTTAATAAGGAAATTTATTAGGAAAAGCTCCTTTGAGTACTTATATTCCAATTAATTCATAATATTTTTATATTTTAATAAGTATTATTATTTAGACATTTGATCTATCAAATCTTAATTATCATATTTAAAGTGTTTTATAGATATTTTTATCCATAAAAATATTTTTTGAACCTTTAGTAACTTGGTGATATAAACATTTATATTTTGATAGTGTAATGTTTACATTCATTATTAATGTGAACATTAATGTGCTTCGAGTTGAGATCCTCTCCATGTGCTCTCTCATTGCCTCCCTACTTGCAATGGTGGAGATGCACCTTGAGTTGATCCAACAGTCCAGATTTGGGCGGGAAAAGCAAATTTGAATTTGTTTTATTATTTTTTTTTATTTTTAAATAACCAAATCTGAACCGTTAGATCAACTCAAAGTACATTTCTACCATTGCAAGTAGGGAGGCAAGGAGAGAGCCCAAGGAGAGGATCTCAACTCGCTTCACCCTATTTTGATAACTATTAGGGGTATTTTGATAACTATATTATTCATAAAATTTATTGGAATATAAAAAAATAATTTAAACTGAATAAAACATAAATAAGTGAAGAAAAATTTATAAATAAATGTCCCTATTTAAAATTCCTAGCATCATTAAAAAAAATAAAAATGAAAATTAATTAATTAATTTTTTATTCATTCATTTGAGTGGCAAACCATCTCAGCGTACTATTTGAAGCCTACATATATACATTTTGTTAGAGCATTTCCGACGATTCACTATTTTTTTCATTAAATTTGAGTAAAAAATAGACGAGTTCCTCAATCTGATATAAATCACTCAAACGATTTACTATAGCTTTCATCAAATCTAAGCGGATGTCTGAGGGAACGACTAGCCGGTCAACCGGAAAGTGAAAATGAATTTTCTAAGTTTAATCCACATGTACTGTACGGGAAAGAAATTGTAACACCCCAAAAAAAAAAAAAATACATAAATCCATCACTTTAGACATGCATTATACAGAAGAGATTAACCATTTCTATTCATCAGAGTAGTTCTTACAATAGTATTACATGTTAACAACAAAAACAAATGCCCTATAGGCTTACAGCTTTCCAAGTTAACACTTGGTTACACAAAAGAAGAGTACTAACTCCATACAAATTAAGCCCTTGGCTTGCTATACATGTA